GTCAAGCGAAAGAGGCAATGGTGATTTGTTTTATAAAGGTCAAGTTATTTTATTAATAAAGAGGAAAGTTCAACCTTACAATTCCAGGAGGAATTGGAGGCATTTATATACATATTTTTAATATATGATTGGCATACATAATAGTAGTATATGTTGGTAAAGATAATAATTATGGAAGAGATGGTATCTTTATCAAAATAGTCAAATATACTAACATTGGTAAAGATGAATACTTTGACAAAGATAACAAAGTGATAATAGTAAATAAAATTAAAGAATATTTCAGAATAGGAAGTAATAGCTAAGTAGGCAAAGTGGACAAAGATATTACAGTAGATCAATAGTACAGAAATTCTAAAACAAGAAGAAGATATTTCAGGGCTAAATGCTAGTGGATTGTTACAAGAGTAGATAAAATATTGAGTGAAGATCAAATGTAACAATATGAAAATCTTGAATCGAATCGAATTGAATCGAAATCGAATCGTTTAAATTTAATTTTTTTAATTTAAAAATCGAATCGAATCGAATCGAATCGAAATTTTATTGTTTAAATTTAATTTTTTAAATAAAAGAATCGAATCGAATCGAATCGAATCGTTTAAATTCGATTCTAAATAGAATCGTTCGGATCCTTAGCTTTGACATGCATTTTTCACCATTGAAATATATCTATACTATTATGTTCTATAGAACTATTTAAATAAAAATCAATTTTGTTTTCAGAGTGAAGATTCTTAAAAACCCGGCCAAGAGAAGTATCGCTAGAAGTATCGGTATTTGGTACTACAATATCATTATAACTATCATATATTTCATTTAAACATACAATTGCCCAATCAATTCAAACTTTATCCCATTTATTTTTTTCATAATATGCCTTTTTTAATCTTGGATCTAATAAGGTAGTTACCGCATACATAGGACTATCACTTCTGGCATAATAAGATCTTAATTTATTAAGCGATACTCTAATAGCTTCCTCAATTACTGACGACAGACCTTTTCCTTGCAAATCTTCAAGATCATCCATAATTAGATTATATGCTGAAACGGCGAGAGGCATCGTTACATACGATTCACCACACAATGTCTTAGATATTTTACGAAAAACTTTTAAAGGTAATGAAATTTCTTTTAACATATCCCATTCCTGCGGCAGAAGACCAAATTTACTTAGCTCAGGAATTTTTCTAACTATTCTACTAAGTGCTGGAGCCATAGTTATGGCTCGTTCAAGCATATTAAGCGTTGAGTTCCAATGTGTTTTAGAGTCAAGAATTGGATTCATATGTTGTATGTTGAGGGAGATACATATTTTGATTAATCTTTGACAATGTTGAGATGAATGCTGAAGCTTTGCAATAAGCATACGAAGCTTTTTGATTATTGGGACTTGAGTATTAGAAGTATTAGTCTGACTTAAAATATTAATATCATTATTATCTTAATCTGATGCTTCAGAACATAATTGAAACAAAAAATCTTGCAAAGCAAGATTTATAACATGAGCTATACAACGAATATGGCCTTGTCGCTGGGTGAAAGAACCACCAATTTCCATAGAAAAAGACTCGAATGCTTCAATGAACGTATTATTATTAGAAGCATTATCAACGGTTATACCAAGAATTTTTTTAGTAATGCTGAAGTCTTCACAAATACTTATCAAAGTATTTGCTATATTTATTCCAGAATGCGATCCTTCGAATGGTGCGAGATCAAGTATATGAGATTGAATTTCTCAATTATTATCAAGCCAATGGGCCGTAACTCCTATAAATGCCTTACAACTATTACTAGTCCATATGTCTGTGGTAAGTGAAATCTTACTCGAGTTATTTCCTAGTGTTTCTTTTAATGAAGCCTTTGATACCAAGTAATATTCTAATAGATCTCTTTTAATTGTACTTGCAGATGGAATTGTAATATTACCTTCTAGCTTTTTAATTACCTCAAATAATTTATGAAAGCTTTCTGACTCAACAGTAGTAAACGGAAGGCAATCCTTTACAATCCACTTGACCAACATTTCTCTAAGAAGATGTTCACCGGACTGAGAAAATAAAGTAGCTAAATCTTCAGAACTCAAAATACTTAGGATGTCGATTTTGTGAATATTGATAACGTGGGTACGCAAATTGGAAGTACCACTATTATTCACAGTAAGGTAATTATCTGTCGAGCATAGCTTACATCTAGCTTTTTTTTTACCCGATTCGACTTCAATAGGAGGATCAAAGTATAGCCATACTGGAGCTGGTATACGCATACTAGTAGTGGATGCCATTCGAAATTAGGAAAGTGTTTAAAGATATATTGGTGAGTTATTGTTTTAAATAATTTGATTATTTTTATTTTTAAAAGGAAACGATGAAAATTAATACTATAGGTTTAATGTATTTATAAGTAAGTGTAAGTGAAATTTCTTACATATATATAGTATATTTATTCATTTTCAATCCTAATTGCTCGCAATATTAAACTTTTTTGCATAACGATATATAACGATTACATAAAACGATCAAGCAAACATAACAACTATGCATAAAGATTAAGCAAGCATAACGATTATGCATAGAGATTGCATAGTGAACAAATGGGCATAATGATTACGTATAGAGATTAGGCAAGCATAGTAATCACGCACAGAGATTAAATGACCACGCATAGTGATCAAATGGGCATAACAATTACGCATAAAAATCAGGCAAGCATAGTGATCATGCAGAGATTAAACGACCACGCATAATAGCAATCAGTAATTAAGCAAGCATAATGATTAAATAGCAATCGAATATAATGAACTGCATAAAATTTAATTTGCATTGATTATTTTTAATTGAAGTTTTGCTGATATAAATTTTATTAATATTAAAATATATATATATTTTATAATAAAATTTTTAATCAAAATAAAAGCGAAGTTTTCTAGTTGTTATTTTTTAATATATATTGTAGATTATTTACATCAATAAATAAAATTATTATATTTAAATTTGAAAATTTGTATTGAATCAGACAAAAAACACTATTTAACCCTAATTTCATAATACTACGAGTAATTCTCTTAATACACATATAAATTATATTATCAGATTATAATATTCTACATTATTTATTCAATTTTTAAATCTGCAAATGATTCTTCTTTTTACCCATGATTATTAGTACTATTAATTTTTGAAACGATTTCTAATACTATTTGATCCAAACAATTTTGTACCCACGATTATCTAATTCTATCTACTTCAATTTCTAATGATATATTTAAATCCGCAAGTGATTCCTCAAGACGTTCCCTGGTTTGTAAGCTCTCGCAGATGTTATGATAATGCTTTGTATGTGTCCAGCTGAAATTGTAACTTTATGCATCACAGATGCCGGTGTAACGGGTTATGCAAAGAACAGGGGTCAGCCAGATATTCCTAAAAAATTTAAATCTATGGAAAAGAATCAAGAACGAGCCAAAGAATTACTAACCTGGATATAGAATGCTATATCTTCTGGCCAAATGGGTAACCCAGGTAAGCCAGGAGTTAAATGGTTTAATAGATTCTTAAAAGATTATAATTTAATTCCTCGCCATTTGCGTAAAATAGGGGCTATATATGCTGTGGTGGTACATGGGGCAAAGAATTTAGCTCATGCTATGACAATCGCTGGAGAAGCCTTGCGCCACAATTGTGACAATCACACCTTACCAGTACAGAATTATGTTATAGTAAATTATCGGAAAAAAGAACAGACTCCAGAGCAAACAAGACCATTCTATCTCTATGATAAAGACTAACTACGTTTCTTTGCTTTCACCACTTTCACAGTAAAATCTTTATCATCATTGCCAGAGACAGTTACTTCGTGGCTAGACGATTCAAACTCAGACCCAGATTCAGATGTGGATGAGGACTCAGATGCAGTATCGTTAGCGAAGCAAGTACCAAGGGTGCTAAAAATTGGTTTTTTCTTAGCTTTGCATGGAATATGTTGCCGAGAAATATTTGGGTTTGCTATCACGTTTATAATATCCTGCTGAATCTCGGGTTTTACTATCTCCAGTAATTGGTGAAGAGAAATCTGGATTTTTTTATCCAATACTTGCCTACGAATACTGGATATTACTTCAATAGTATTCTGTTGCTCTGTTAAAGACTTGGTTACTATTTCGATACATTCATGTAATTCTTGAGACAAGATAGTATTGGTCATGTCAGCTCTGCTGATATTATCTTTAATAATTGCTTCGTTTATAACAGACTTGATATTAGCTTCAGTCATTGTAAATGCGAATAATATTATTTATTAATACGAATTTAAAAATGCAGAATTAAATATATTGTTATAATAAAACGTCATGATGATAACTTTAACCTGCGAAATCAATAAA